ACACAACAGCGATTGCCCAGCCCTTGGACCAAGGCATCATTCGAGCTGTAAAACAGCTCTACAAGAAGAATCTGCAGCGCAGATTTCTTCTCGCCATTGAATGTGGCCAATTATTCTCCATCGACCTGATTGGCGCGATTCACCTGTTCGAATACTCGTGGCGGCAGGTTGAAGCAATGACAGTTGAAAATTGCTTCAAGCGTGCTGGCTTCATTGCGTGTGCGGGCGACGCAGATGACGCCAGTGACACCATCGACCAGACTTCGAACATTGTAGACGAAGCTTGCAAAACTCTGCTAGCTGAAGTGCTGGAGCGGCAGGGCGTTACGGAAGGCATTTCCTTCCCCGACTTCAGAGGCGCAGACAGCGATGTGCAGACATCTCCAGACATGTCCGACGAAGCCATTGTTGCCTCAGTTGTCGAAGTGTCGCCAAATGATAGTGATGAGGACGACATGGAAAGCGACAACACGGGTTGTCTGATCCAGGTCCGACAGTGGTCGAAGCTGCGCATTGCTCCGGCCAACTACGGTTTAACGAGGTTTCACTGTACAAAGGCAACTGTAGCTGTAAAGTGCTGGTTGAACAATCGATGAGGGCTGAATGCGCAGTAAAGAAGACAATGCCGAGAATCACGTCATGTGGGCAAGCGTCTAGAACAGCGAAGAGGACTGAAGTGTGAAGGCAGGCAACAGTGATGGGGGCAGTGCACATACCAAGAACTGATGTTCGGCTGCCGTCGGCTACTCGCACAGTCGAAGACATGGCAGGGGTAATAACTTTTTTCAGGCGGAATCGAAGACGTGAACTCATAACGGATATGTGGGCACCAGTGTCTATTAGAGCTGAAATGGTCAGGCCATCGATAAGAACACCAAGTAAATTTTGTCTGGAATTAGTGGTCGGTAGAGCTTTTTGGTCCGAGTGGTATGCAGCGCCACCTCCAGGAGCTGCATATGTTAGTTTCCCGAGAACTGCCCAGAATACGCCGGTGACGGGGAGCGACGGCGTTGATAGGAGCGCGGCTGGCGACCCTGAGGCGACGGCGAGCGGCTGGACCGGGTTCTTTGGGCGACGACATCGGCGTAGGATGGTTCGGAGCGTAGCGTAGAACGGCTAGGTGGAAGGTCCTTAAGGTGGTCATCGGCAAAACGAGATGGCGAATACTGCTCACGATCCTGTCGGTTGTTGTCTAGAAAACGTTGCCGGAAAGACCATCTGTGGCGGCAGTGGCGGGAAATGTGGCCAATGCGATGGCAAGAGAAGCATATCGGTCGATCATCTTGTGTGCGCCACTCGGATGGATTTCGGTAGCGCGATGTGAACCGCGGGACTGACGCGGCAGCAGCAACAAGTGGGGCGGCGAGGTAGTGAGCTTTAGGATTTATGGGCTGCGGTGTGTGGCTGGAGTTTTGGGGAACTAAGACGCCCATGTTGGCAAACTCTTGTCGCACAACAGCCTGAATAAGAGATATTGGGGACAAGTTGTCAGGCAAAGAGGGTTGATAAGCGAAAGGAGCCATGGCTTCAAGCTCCTGGCGGACAATTCTTGTGATGTTTGGAGGATTCACGAATGGACGTGGCACCATAGGGTCCTCGCAGGAAGAATTCGCAGCAGTGTTCAGGAGTTGGGAAAAACGTTGAGCGATTCTTCTGCTTTTGGCTTGTTCGAACCACCGACAATCACTGACAATTGAATCAATGATGGTACATGTTGAAGGCATCGTCGGCTATGCCCTTGCAACACATTGCTGACCTTGTCTAGTTTGGTCATGTCTTTGTCAGCCTTCCGACACAAGGCGAGCACGTCTTGGATATAGGTGACATACGACTCGGAGGAAGATTGAACTCGTGACGCGAGTTTCTGTCTGGCTGCCATTTGTCGAGCAACTGACCAGCCGAACAAGTCACGGAGCTTCTGCTTGCATACGTCCCAACTCATCAGGTCTTCCTCGTGCGTCTCGTGCCAGGCGCATGCAGTACCTCGCAGGTAAAAGATGACGCTGGCCAACATAAGTGTCTCATCCCATTTGTATTGCTTGCTGACGCACTCGTACAAGGCGAGCCACTCGTCAAGGTCAGTTGTGTCGGTGCCGCAAAATGTACCTGGATTGAGAATATGGGAAGGGATCACAGGTGACGAAGCAGGCGTAGACTGAACGGACAGCGCACTGCCTTCAGGCATCGTGGCTGGACGAAGCTGACGTCCGCTACGGAGATCCAGAGTCGGAATGTTACCCAGCACTTCCACCAAAAATATGTAACGGGGAGTATTTAATAAGTTGATGACGGTTGGGATAACACTGCACACAGTGGACAAGGACGCAGGACAACAAGGCAGTCCAGACACGGCCCCACAACAACATCGTTGTCTTCATCCCTTCTGAGTGATTTCTGCATCTGTGCCTGAGCTACGTTTCTATACCTGTGACAATATCATCACTGATGTGCGTTTCACCACACTTGTAGCGGACTTTCTTATGAAATTCAGTGTGAATGTTGACATCCGATCGAGTCACCTGTGGACTGCACTACCAGCTACTACTAGTGTGCAGGGCATCCTTGCTCCTGAATCGACCTCCATGCCAACAGCTTCCAACTATGAAGCATGTACGTTTGCATCCACTTGGTCCGATTTTCCCAGAACGGACAAACCCGAACAATTTGGAACAACCGGTGCAACACAATGTCACAAGTAGACCTCCAGTGACTGCATTGCCACGGCGGGCAGGGAGTTTGAGCATGTGCTGCAACTAGGCACTTTTCACCCATTATCCAGAAGCTGGTCATCGGCCCTGCACATGGTACTGATGCACGGCGACTGGCACCCTTGCTGACTACTATTGCACATCTGAATGGAGTTTAGGAGAACCTATGGTGGTACTGCATTGTGACACTGAAACAAATACAAATCAGACTACAGTGAAAACTTTATATAGTGAAACCTGATTTTATGAATTTCGGAACCTAACAAAGCAATTTCCCTTCTCCAGCAAGTACCCATAGGTACCACTGTGCTCATCAGCTCGAATGAATAAAGTTTTCAAGCCAGTAAATTTGATTTGTTGAAGTTTCTACAAAAATGAATGAATATAAAATGTAGCAATTTCTTTCATTTTCTAGCATTTTGCGTGCAGCCAATTTCTGCCACCTCGTACGTCTCCATAGAACTGATTCGCATTTACAGCCGACGTGCGATTTTTTCGGATGCCCGAAATTCTGGACAAGCCTGATTTTCCAGCCTCATCTGTGGCACCGTCAAGTTCCCCATAGAGTCAATGTATTAAAAATTCCGAAATTTCGTATGTTTATAGCCTTCGGCATCCCGTTTTCCGGATTTTTACTATTAACCGCCAACCCAAAGTCGCCACCGACGCCGCCATTTTGGTGGTTTTCATATCCTCGTGCCGCCAACCACCACGGCTGCCGTAACCTCGAAACCGCACGTGTCAATCTGTTGCCAGCCCTAGCTTAGCGGCTTAGCCAAACCAAACCTCACTGTGTTCATTCACGTGCTGTTTTGTCAGCTCTGCGATCGTCTCTGCGGTTTATTGTTTGCTGCAACGCGATATCTTCAGTGATCCCGTTTCTCGACCTGCAGCATCCACCCAGTTCCTAGCTGTTAGGTGCTGCGCTGTTCGTCGAGCGGATTCACCGTTTACAGCAATGGCACAGACTGCTCCTTCATCTTCGTCCGCGCCTTTGAAGTGCACAAAGCCCTGTCGTAGGCTCACGTTGGGAACAGCTACGCTGTTGAACTCAGGTCTGCCATCAGCATGCTAGTGGAATCTTGGAGGGCGGTTACGCAAGAGACTCTGCAGAAATGTTTTTGCCACGCGGGCTTCACACTCAACGCCGAGACCGCCGTCTCGCCCCAAGAGGACAGCGTGTCTGACGAACTGTCATCCGCGGATGTTGCCTTAACGATCTGCGCGCTGCCAACGTGTCGATTTCAGCCGGGATAACCTTTGAGGGTTTCACCAACGCTGACAAAGACTTTGAGCTATGTGCGGACTTGATCGATGACGAAATCTTTCATCAAGTTACGGAGGATTTCGACAACTCCTACACCGAAAATGAAGAGCCATCTCCTACACAGCCAACAAGATCGGAGTTGACGCAAGCACTGATGACACTGTCATCGGTGTACAGCGGCAACATGACATTGACTGAAATTGAGGCAGACATGATCGCGGGCAAACGGAACGCCTTGCAAAAGAAAATAGGCGACTTCTTTGGGTCCAAGTTGCTGATCTATGAGATAGCGCCGGCCACGTCACTTTTTTTTTATAAACGGCTCTTTTCAGAGCCACCTAAACGATGCAGTGGCTTAATTGCTAACGGAATCTTGTACTCTGGCCATTACTCTCTGTCAGCAAAAATATCTACAAAAAAAGGTGCGTTTTCAAGTACATTTGTTTTTCCGGGCTGCCCGATTCTCCGGACATTTTTCACAGTCCCTTGAGAGTCTGAGACATTAGATGTCGACTGTACCTGTGCCCGTGTGCTTCAAGTTTTCAACAAATTTGCCCTCGCACTGCCAATCGCTAGTGTACTGGTTAGCTCCATTGGTACAGCGACCACCCTGGAAAGGCGTTGGTCCAGGGTCCGACACCCGGACCAGATGAACTTTTCGGCAACCAAGAGGCTTTTCTTTCCTGAGATATCTGCGCGGATTTCCTTGTGGCTCCGTGCTACAAACAGGTGGTTGTCTACTTTCTATTTTTTCAATCTCCCGCCACATTGCAAGTCTCCGCAGAACTCTGTTGCATGAATCTGCTGTGTCTGTAGGGTTTTGTTGTGTCTGAAAACCGATTTACTGATTGCAGCAGTTTAACAGGTATACTATTCAACAAATAGGAGTTCAACTACGTATTGGTACACTATTACATGAATGATATCCATTGTGATATGAATTTACTACTGTAATAAACCCCTCTATTAAAGAGCCAACAGTACGTGTAAATAATTAAATAAAACAAAAATGAGAGAACATTCACCTGCCACATTGTCATGCTGGCTACCCACGGCGTCCACGATGCTGGTACCACTAGTCTCAGAGTCTGAGCTGCTGCTGGGCACCAGGGTAGCTGACGAACCAGTCTCGGGGGTGTCCGACACTGCCCACTGCTCATCTCTTTCTTCTAGCCTTGTGACAACGACGATAGGTGACAACATTGGAGATGTACCGTCACTCGTAGCTGCAAAATCAAGGAGGTCACACCAGCAGTGGTGGGAATGCCTTCCAGCATTTTGGAGCAGCCAACATCTACTTTGAAAGAAGCTACCTCAGTGTTTGGAGCACGCACGGGCTTTCTATGACACACACAGAGGAAGAAAATTTAGCTTTATTTAAGTTACTGTTCTTTCAGTTAACACAATCACATTATTTCTCTATTTATTATAATTACCCTCAGGGCCCCAAATGAAAAAAGTAGGATTAATCATTATGTACAGAAGCAGTGACATAAAATAGTGAAGGACATTGCACGAACAAGCTAGCTGCAGCAGGTAATGCATAGCGTGTGCACAAACACAAACACATGTATTCAAAGCTCATTGCAGTAGAACCTCATTTATATGTACATACATGTCAAGGAACTGCCGAAAACATGAATAACTATGCACTAAATGTGGTACCCATTAACCACCAAGTACATAGACGTGCGCAGGCTTCCCATTCAAAGAGAGAGGGGAGACAAAAGTTCGTCGCACCTGCCACCTTCCCTATTATGCCCCTATGTGGAGCTGGCTTTGCACCCCTCTGTGTGCATGCCTATGACCAACTACCGATTCACAGTTTTTTACGTATGCTATCACCACTAAAGAAAGAATAAATACAGTGCCACAGCAATTATTGCCTTAAGTGCCCACCACGAAGTCATTATTTTTTTTGTCAATGTTCAGAAATGAATAGCATTCTCACACGATAGTCCGATGGCACGCAGTGGCGACACTGAAGAACATTTCAAAACTACTGTAAAGTCCGGGTTACACAGCCAACGCAGCGACTAACGTATAGCGACTAAACGAATATAATCGGCAGTCTGCGATAAATGTGTATTGTGATATGCTACTCGGTGAAAACTGACAGTTTTTTTCTAGACGTGGTACCGCCGCAGAGAGCCGATTGTCTACTGGCTAGTTGCGTGCAGCGCTTCGCCTATTTGGTGTACACACCGTGCTGAGCCGCTAGCCCCCACTCTGCTGCAGATAGTGCACAGTTGCAGTGAGAAGCCTGCTCAGTTAACGCGATGATGCAAGCTTTCTGCGAGCAATGCTCTAGCAGTCCTGGCAACGAATGGAGGCGTGTTCAGGCTTCCGCCTCATGAAAGCGTGTGCTACACTTGCTGTATTGGTATTCATGATCCACAACGCTGAAATCCGCAACAGTGAGCTGCTTTCGTTTCTGCAGAGCAGTGCATACTCAACAGGGTCTCACAAAACGATTGAGGTGGTAAGCTTTGGTGCAGAGCAGTGCATACTCAACACGGTCTCACAAAACGATTGAGGTGGTAAGCTTTGGTGCCTCGGCGCTCTCAGGTAGTCACCGGCTATTAACCCCTTAACTGCTCATTTTTTCCAAAAAAAAGTTATGGTCGAAAAGTGCCAATTTTTATTGCTGATGTCAATTTGGATTCTACTAAAAAGTAGCTAGTCGATATTGAAAAAATATTTTCGCCGCATACTTAGTCAAATTACCAGAATAAAGTTTTATTTCTGAACAATGCATAGGAAACAAGCTGCCTACTAATATAATTAAAAGCCTTATACACAAAACAGTTAAAGCTGCCACATCTATCTTCACTTGTATAGGCTAAGCACACTTTGGGTATTTCACTAAGAAAGCTTCGGGGCTGTGTGAAAAATTTCGAAACGCGGAATAACGCAAGGCGGCTTCACTAGAGAGCACTCGCAATGTTCGCGTCGGAGCTGGCTTCATCATCGCCGGAGGAGCTACTCATTCACCATCATCGCTGTCTTCACTTCCAGACGCAAGATAAATATATCTGTACTCGAATCATTATCAATAAAAGTAGATGACGAAAATGAATAGCTTCTTTTTCGTTTTTACGGGCCAGCTATGAATGGGTCGCCGCCACCGCATGCCATCGTTCCATACTGTGCACAAGGCTTACCAACTAAGCGCAACCGTGTAGGGATGCGACGTCCTCCACTGCCGCTGCATGCGACGACGCTGCGGCCGGGTTCATCGTTTTCTTCGACACGGCGCAGAAATCATGCACAAGGCAGGATAACAACAAAAACTGCTTTATTAACCCAAGATGCAGCACAGTGTGACACACACGGGCTTGCAGGCCGTATAGGGAACTCCGCGAGACCGAGCAAATATGCTTGCCTACGGCGGAACGACTCCCGCACAAGGACCGAAGTCGAACGCACGAACGAGAATCCGCCTGCTGAGCAGCATGTCAACCCATCATGAAGGCCTGAAAGCATCGTCGGGTGCAATATAGCTCGTAGGAGAGAAGGATGTCACGCGCGCCCAAAGAGAAATGGCGCTGCGTTGTGACGTAGGCCCGCGCAGTGCACCAGCGTAGCGTGCCCGACATGCCAGCGCGGGACGGAGCCGATGCTTGACTCGCCCAGACCAAGAGGCAACCTGGCAGCCATCTTGGCAAATGCCGGTGATTATGCGCGCCCAAGCTACGCAGTCGGCGCGCACGCAACAGCTGGAAAATGAGGCGCCAGGTAGGGGGGCGCTCTTGATTCCCACAATGCGAAAACTACTCTCCCGCCACAGGAGAAAACTAAAAGTTCGAGCAAATGCTGCCATCTAGTGGATGACACGCAATGCAACCTGTAAATGTGCGCTGCTCCGTTTGAACGCTAGAGGGGAGTACCCATTCCACTAGGACGAGTTCTACTTGTCCTAGCGTTTGACGACAGTTTGGGCTGGACGAGCTCTGCTCGTCCAAAGCAGTTAAGGGGTTAAGGGCATGCAGTAGGCTTAAAGCGCCGCACACATAGGCTTTTGGTCAACGATAAGACATACTGGCACGCTTTTGTGGTAGTCGCCACATCGATTTTATTCTTTGCCAATGGTTACCAGAAACGGCACCGCCTCAATCACGCGAAAGTCAGAATAAGTGATCAGCTTTTGCAGCAGCGCAAGTGTGCAAGATGGCGACCATCACGTTATATCCGTTCACGATGCGTGCTGTCAACATCACTTTCGGTTCCACAACCACCTAGTGGCGCAGCTATGGTGCAAATTGGAGCAGTATGGTGCAGTGATTTTCAGTTGGCCCAGGTTTCCCACCACGGCACCAGTGAACATTTACCACCGTGTCAGGCAAACGTAAACACACAACACATTCACTGCCAGTAAAGATATAAAGATGCAACATTCCAGCAGAGATATGGCTACCAAAGATTTCGGGCAATTCATCAAACTTGCATAAAAGGACTTCTGATGTGACCTTGTTTTAAACATGTGCATTCAAAAACAAAGGGCCCAACTCTTTCAAGCTTCCAAAACCAATTTGGTGTTTGCCTATTCCCACAAACAATTGATACTTTAGCAGTCATCTCTACAAAGATCAATTTTCAAAGCCCAGTGAGTTTTATCATTCATTTGATCATCTTACGACAAAATGAATAGTTCGCACAATAGTGATCTGTTTCGTCATCCCCTTTGCTGAATCACTGTCATCGCTATCTCATAGAGGCAAGTAATTCTTTTCCTCACTAAAGTCATCATTGCTTTCCCTAAATGTGCCGCCATAAAAAGCATGCAGGGGAAACGTGGCCATGTTTCTCAGTGAACCATGCACACGTTCTAGGCTCCAGTAGCTCCACTGGCCATGCTGCACCTTAGTTTGAAAGAAGTAAACACAAAGCAAAACTTATTCCTCAAGACATGACACTTCATGTAAAAAAAAAAAGCATGGGACTAAAGTGAGAAAACCGCGATATTTTAACCATGAACACCCTTGTCCCCCGGTGCCCGACGGCGAACCACTACAGTCGTGCTGCACAACAGACTGCAAAGGGTTAACGTATGCTGCGTCCACTGTGACTCCGTCTATCCATATGCATTATACAGTACGCTGCGCATTGCGAGAAAGGTAGCTTGTACTTGGCTTATATTGAAAAGTATTAATTCAATCAATGTCATTTCAAATGCAACTATCTACAAACTTATAAACACTTCCCATGACAATATTAAAAATAATATTAAAAATATTTTGTCTGCCCACAAACTCATTACTATTAGCATTTCACCCAATCGCGGCAGCCACAAATTGGCAGCCCGGTCAGGTGGTGCTGTCTCGTGGCGTTACGTGTGCAACAAAGAAAGCACGTAACTAAAAAAGCTTGTTCAACTTCATCGAACAGGTATGGAGACACTAGCTGGCCACCAAATGCGCCCAAGTCACATGGGTCACTGTTAAGACAGCTTTGAAGAACTTGTTCACACAGAACGGTCAGTCACAGACATGGCACGGCTGATGCAGCGTGGTCACTTCCGCTGAGCGTCTGCTCTTTGCAGCTTTCATACTTTACACAAGTGAAACCAGCAGGACATTTTACCAGCTTGTACATCACGCGAGAACAGTACTGCTTGGCTGGAATTTGGTGTTGTGCTTTCTTGCTAATTTTAAACTGCCAATTTTTCAAGCATTTTCGCTATCGGGACCTTGACTGGAGTGGCTGAGAAAGCATCGAGGCACCACTACTATAACATTGTTAAAAATCACTGCCGTTGGTGCAGAAATGTTAACTGAGTATAAATGTACAACACCCAGGAGCTTCCACTCACCCAAGGATGATGGCGCAGAGTGCATCGCACCCAGGCTCTCACTTGAACTGAGATCATCCGTGGCACGAAAAAACACTTCCTTCTTACGCTGTCAGAATAAAATTTGGAAAATTAATTCATCAGAAACATCAATACAATGTGTATGTCTTTACAGCCGCTTGTGGCTGTAGACTTATTTAACTACAGGAAACATGAACACTAAGGAAACATGAACAAGTTAACAGGCATAGCTTGCGCACTGGAGTCACTACAAGTCCGCCTTCGATACAAGGCTCACACTCGTGCCACAGCGCCAAGAGTACAGTGTCGCAGCACGTGCGCTTCCTTCTAGTCATCTTCTAAGGAGGCATTTCAGAATGGCACATCATGCAACAAATACTGTATGCTTACAAAGTAAATACTTGGTTGAATGAAGCTAGTATTTTTCTACGAGATGCGACTTCATCCCAAAGAAGGTATTAATGCAATTTATGGCTCAGCTGACATCACTGCTAGCTGTTCATGCTGACACCTTCAACCAGTTGTTCCAAAGCACTGCACAGGTGTTAACAATTATGGTAAGAGGGTAGTAAAACTTCCTTCAGGAGTTTTATCACTTGGCACTTCACTCAGTCAAGTAAGCTCTAGAACAAAACTGTACATTTTTCCCACATGAAAGCAAGACATTTCCAGAATTAGCTGTTAATGCATTTTCAATTTCATAGAGTAGCTCTGCGAAACTGCAACATACATCACTTGGCACAACGAAAATTCTAAGCGTGTATCTGCTCACACTGTGTACACTTCAACAGACTGGCCACAAAACTGTTGAACGTAGTTGTCATCAAATACGTAGACAAACTTTGGCAATGTAGTACAATGTAGGTCGCAGAAAAGGTCCTCCAAAGCACTTTAGTGCAAGATTGGAATCAGCCTCGCACCTTTATAACACTTGATCCATGCCATGTTATGCTTTCTTTTTCTTAGCTCACTTTCTGGTTTAGTTTGTCAATTACTTGCATATATTATTCATTTCATTATTTGTTGGAGTTTAACTTCCCAAATCCACCACACGATTATGAGAGACGCCGTAGTGCAGAGCTCAGGAAATTTCGACCACCTAGGGTTCTTTAACGTGCACCTAAATCTAAGCACATGGGCCTCGAGCATTTCCGCCTTGATTGAAAATGCGGATGTCGCGGCTGGGATTTGGTCCCGCGACCTACGGGTCTGCAGCTGAGAGCCTTAGCCACTAGACCACTGTGGCAGATTATTATTCATTTGTTTGTTTATTCACATAGACAGCCTATAGGAATTTCTTGTTTTGTCTCACTCTGTGAGTGATCGTGCTTTAATTCACTGCATTAAGGTTAGGCTATGGTGACTGCCCCAACAAGACAACTGTGAACCACCCACCTGTGCATGTGCTGCCTCTCGTTGACAGGCGACTGCCTGGAAATGTCTCATCAGCAGCCGCTTTTCATCCGTCATCTGCATCCAGGTGAAAAGCAGAATGTGCCACAGTGAGCTTGCCCAGGGTTCTTCAACAGGTCTCGACATCGGACTTCACTCATTTGTTATCAAGAGAAATTGGTTGTTTTTCTCCGCTATAAAGTTATTGCCTCTTTTAAAAGCACTCTAGCATATTGAATTGGCCACAATAAAATTCTCTCTCCAAGAAATCTAAGTTGTAAAATAACAACAATATTTCAGAATGAATAAAAATGTGAAAAGTGTGTCATCTTTAGATGCCAGCTAATAAACAGTGCAATAAAAAAATACAATATATGCAAGTTCATTCAAAATATACATTTTGAAGATAAATGACCCAGGAAAAGTATAAGAAGTCTACACAATGTTTCTATCAACATAGACGAAGAAAATATGAACCAAGGCGCTGCTTCATTGCTTGTGCCATGCAATGAGGCATTGCTTGGTTTTTTTTGTGAGACACAGGTGCACAATTATCGATAACTCTTCTTTTTTTTCTTACACTAAGAGCCTGCAGGTGTTCCAATATAGATGCATGCCCATGATGTGAGCAATCCTTCAATAAATCAGAAGCCCAATGAACTTAACTAGTTCTTCTAGCATCACCTCTTTCCATGAGCCAGCTCTCTTCACATAGGTTGGCGTTTCAATATATGCATCCAAGCTTTTCTTTCTTGCAGCTAGTATTGAAAAATATAAAGTCACAGTTTGGCGGCAACAGAAGGCGATAGCAACAAACTGGAATGTCACGCAAAGAATGGCAAGCAGATCGAAACGTGCAGCGCATTGCTCCCGCACAATGACACACGAAACGTATTCACAAATACAGATGAAGGCACACTAGCAAGTCTCACAGTTGTTACTTCACTGTGTTTGAAAAGTGTGCCCTTCTTACAAAGGAGGGTCGTGCAGTCAGCTCAGTGACCTTTGCACGCCCGGTAATTACAACCCAATCGTTAATCGTTCTGGTCAAAGCCCAAAGCATACAATTCCCCCACTGCGACATAAGTGCGTGCATGCACGCGCATCTACTCCCCCTTCCCACGTGGCAAGGTACATGTGCGAGATGAGCATATGTGTGTGTATTATGACGAGCGGGGCGCCGAGACGCTCTCTGCGCAACCTCGATGGTAATGCTGAAAACACTCCGTTATTTCTCCCGAGATCGGCACCACCAGTGATAAGTAGATCATATAAATAGCTTGCCGTTTTAACGTACAAGGACGTGCATCATCATGGCTCAGGGGCTAACGACACGCGCTTCAAAGTGAGACGCAACGCGTTTGATTTCGCACGCCAAAAACTATTTTTCTGGCTCAACTTTTTCTTCATTTTTTATATACATATATGGGGCATGACGGCAGTGATAAAACGGTTACATCGACGGCAAGAACCAGCCGAGAGGGTTCGTATGATTGCTACCGCAATGAAAAAATCGCGTGTAGTCCTGAAAAAGCTACGCGACGTATTTATGTGATTGTTTGTGCTGCTAAGGGCTTATTTGTTTGTCCTTTTCTCTGTCTTTAGCACTTCGCTTATTTTTTCCCCTTTTTTTCAAATGTTTCTATAATGACCTTGCTTATTTATTCTGACCATGGATGTTTACTGTTTTTGTGCTTTTTAAGTTACTTCATTCATGATGTATACCATGTTTTTGTGTGACCGCTGTGAAGCTGCCCAGTGTATGAGGTGGCCAGGTTCCCCTCAAGCTGCTCAATGCAGCTTTTTTGCCTGGTCATCCTCGCAACTTTGTTGTTGTGAATAAACAATTCAAGTCAATTCAATTCATTTCTTGCCACTCCGCAGTGTGACGCTGAGATGTGTTCTAGCAACCTTCTTGTCGTGAGGAGCTGCACAGCTGACGCCAGCACATCACGCCCCAGCTCACATGTGACCAGTAAACCTACCGCAGTGGTCTAGTGGCTAAGGTACTTGGCTGCTGACCCGCAGCTCTCGGTATCGGATCCCGACTGCGGCAGCTGCAGTTTCGATGTAGACGAAAATTCCGTAGGCCCATGTGCTCAGATTTGGGTACACGTTAAAGAACACCAGGTGGTCTAAATTTCCGGAGCACTCCACTACGGCATCTCTCATAATCATATGGTGGTTTCGGGACGTTAAAACCCACATATCAATCAATCAATCAAAGCATGTGGCGAGTAGCCCCAAAATTAGGCACAAACCTCAGCTAGTTTCCAACGGCAGGCGTTTTCCACAGCGCAGGTGTGCACCAATGTGCATGTGACAATGCCACAGGAGCAACTCCATGTGGCCCTATGTCTAATACAAGCGAAACTAAGGCTGATTGAAACTGCTTGGAAAGGCCACCTCTGCACTTTATACATGAGGCGCACCTTCAGCAATTTCCTTTTTGTAGAATAAATCTTTTCCAAGTCGAAACTACAGCTCTCTAAAATTTCAGACAATCATTACAACTCAACACTGTCTGATTGTGAAGCTAACAGTTTCATTTGATATTTGACGGGTAAAGGTTTTTTAGATTTCAGTTCTTTGATGTTACTGTAGCATAACCAAGAGTGGCACGCACTTCTGTCATGTTTGAATCCAAGCACATCACACAAAGGTTTACAGAAAATGTGTTGGGCGAATCACCGATCAACTCGCGAAGCGTCAGCAATACTTCAAATCCCTGGTTATTCCTTGAATCCCCCTTTCAGGCTAAGAGGAGGGAGTGACACGGAATGTTGTAAAGAACAGCAGAAAATGCATAACTTCGAAACAGTAGCGCCCGCTCACGTTCTTGCAAACCAGACACCACGTTAGCTACTGTGGCAATGAGGTCAACATCACTTCGGAAAGAACAAGCAACAATGGTGGGCGAGCTTCCCCTACCACGACCGCTGGATGAAAAAGCGCACGGGTGCGGTCTGCCGCGTGTTCTAAAACCGACGTGACAGGTCTAATTACCCAGACCACCACTGCGGCGCCACTGGGGGGAAACAGTTCTCGCGAGTGCCCACAAAATCACATGCGCAGCGTGCTTGCGGTAGTTACAATTTAATGCGTGCATCTACGTGTGACCCACGAAACTTTTTAATATCCGTCTAGCGTGTGCCCACCAGGTAATTACCGATATTGCTTTTACATACCTACAACACTTGCAAATTTTCGGTATTGTTTTGCCCGAGATGGCACCTTGCACACCGATCAGTTTTCGCAGAAGTAAGAATTGTGAGTACATTTTACTCTGATACTACAAGATCCCATCTAACTGATCTGGAAGAGCTACACCTATCCTAATGCATTGAAATTCATTATAGTAAATGTATGTCCCTTCAAAAAATGTTGCTTCAGATTTAATGATTTCGTTTAGAATAAGCAACCTCATCAATTGCAGTTGCCACTGTTCATTTAACGCCAAATAAGATAGACTTTTTACTTCCTCCAAACACGTCTATAGTATTCATACAATATCGTATCAGATACAACAGCCACAAAATATACTTAGCATGTGCACGGTCTCATAACAGTGGACTCGAGCCTCCTTGAAATTTCAGTGACTAACTTCAGTGCTGGCAATTGAGCGAGCAGTTATGAAGTGAATAATGTTAAAACTGTGAGACGAAAAGAGCGATGAAATGCTGCAAAATGTGAGCACGACTGTTTGTGTTGCTGCGCTTTTGAATGTTTTCGTCTCTTTCAGTCACGATGTTCTTATGATAATGCAACTTATTCAACCTTACATTCAACAGTGAACGTGTAATTGCATGAAAACGAACAATTGAATGAACAAATTGCATGAACAAATTGCATGAAAATATTTTATTTATTCTCAATTTGGGGCTGATCCTGGCATTAAAAAATTTTTTTACTTTTTTGCACCTTTGCATAATAAAGCAGTTGACAATTGCTTAAAAGCTTCGTAGGCGATATTTTCCAGAGAGAATATCTGAGTGAGTGCATATTAGTTGAGGTGCCCCATTGCGCAGCCAACAAGCATATGTTTACGTTCACACACCCCCAGCCGCTGGCTGCAAACGTTGCATTCAGGAGTTTTGACACCACCTTCCCATTTTCTCTTATCTCATTCCCGGCTTATCTCTAGTATTCTTCTAATGCCTGCGTTCAAGCCCTTGGCATCTTTGTCATTAGTTCCGGTTATTTCCAAACGCTGTTGCGTTGTGGTGTTCTGCATCTCCTGCAAGGCCATGTGGAACTGATGTTCGTTTTTGTAAAACAGCTCGAGCAACCATTCTATTGAAGAAGTACGGCTTTCTGTGGTCATTTGCCGAACGGCACACAGACTCAAACTTACATCAGCAAAACATGCAGAGACAAGAAGGTGCTGAAAAACAGCTAGTGGCCAACAAGAGTTTATATTTGAAGCAAATATATACTGGCAGTCACATGTTGAGAGCCTCTCACTGGGAGATTGTGAGGAGGGTCGTTTTGGAAAGAGCTGCGGTAGAGAAAAAAAATGGCATAAACACTCTGCTATACTCGTCTCCGTTTACTTTTTACGTTATTTATTATTGTTTTGTTCTGCCTCCATCTTGCACGCCTTACTTTTGTCTTATGTGTCTATTGACAATAAAACCATCTGTTCGGCATTTTCATGTTATCCTCTCCACGGGCACTAGCGAATCTCGATAGCACCCCAGAGCTCTTGTCTTCTTGCAGTATCCGTCATGGGGTTATGTCATTCATTACTGTTTATTTGTTCTACTATGTATCATCAATAAATCGGCACCTGTGCTCGCTCAAAGGAAGGCACATCTACTCGACTGCCCTACAGCAGCCGTGGTATTGTGATGCGTAAACATAAAAACATGGTTGTGACTTGACACTGCCATATATATATATATAAAACTGGGTAAGTGTATGTCGCGCATAAATAAATATAGCTTGTGTTTATCCCTGCAGTCTCATGATTTTGTTTCAGGAGTTGAGGCCTATTATTGTCAGCGTCATTGCTCTAGATATAAGCCACTCCACGCCAGTACATATATATATTGTCAAGGTAATAAAATCAGTGCAAG